AGCCTAAGCCCCCTGCCTGGGCCTGAACGAAAACTGAATCACCTCGGCCGACCCTGCCGCTGTGGCCGACGATGTCGGATGCTCTCGAGCACTCTCCAGCGCCGGGCGCGGTCCTGACACAGCCGGCCGTGCTTCACCGCCGCTGTTCAGCTCGGCGGCAGAAATGGCAGCGGATACGAGCTCTTTACGGACTGTCGAGCTGCGGTCGGAGAACTCGTGAGCTCCCACACATCGCAACTCTTGCCGATGCATTCTGGAACAATCACATAACGCCTGGCATCACCACAGCCCACTTGCGACATTTGTGGCCCAAGCCGGTCCGCAGTATCCCAGTATCCCAGTATCCGGTATCCACATTAGCCGGGAATGCTCTAGGGAGGGGTGCAGCTGCATGGTGACAACTACCAGTGAGAAGGATGGGGATGCAGCTGGCTGCTGGACCATGGCTTACGCACGGGCACACTTCCATGCATTGCCAGTATCCAGTAGTATCCAGCAGTATCCCGCAGTATCCTGCAGTATCCCAGTATCCGATGCGCCGGCTCCGAGTATTTCGGTGAAAATACTGCGCGATACTGCCAGGGCCACACTACTTCAGTAACACAATATCTGCATGCCCCAGGCCCAGTATTGCAGTATCACCCTCGCGGCAGAGAGGTATTTGCGCCACCGATACTTGGCCCTCGCTTGTGGGATATTGGGATACTTGGCCAAGGGCCGTGTGCAGGTAGCATGCAGTATTGCAATAAAAATACTTGCTTTGCGTGTCTGAAATACTGGAATACTGCGCCACAGCACCTCGGATACTGGGATACTGGAAATACTGTGAAATACTCGAACTCTCCTTGCGTACTGAAACCCGGGCCTCGGTACATACGGCCTCGGTACATACGGGTGCACATATGGCCGCGGAGCCGTGGGCTGGCGCCCACGCCTCCGCCGCCGCCGCGAGCTCGGTCGCGCTAGAGGCCGCCGAGCTGACCGCTCTCGCAGAGGCCGACTCAACGCTCCTCGACGGCCTGCGTGAGGACCGGTGCGAGTCCGCTGCACGGCTCCTACTGCAGGCTGACTTCATGCTCTGCGCCACCGGGGCGGGCATGTCTGTTGGCTGCGGCATGAGCACGTACCGCACCTACAGCTCGACAGGTGAGGAATCCGCGGCGCGAGTCGGAGGCAGCAGCGGCGACGATGGCGACAGCGACTACGCTGGTCCTCTGTATGAGGCGCTGGCTTCGGCCGAGACGCTGCGCCTCGACCCAGCCTCCTTTCACGCCTTCATGTGCTCCTTTTTCAACGACGCGCAAGAGGCGCGCCGCACCGCCGGCTACCGCACGCTGCGGGCGTGGCAGGACTGCCTCTTCTCGAGCGGGCACGCCTTCACCTTCACCTCGAACGTGGACGGGATGCACCTCCGCGAGGGCTTCGCCTGGGTCTTCGAGTGCCACGGGTCGAAGATGCGGTGGCAGTGCAGCAAGCCGTGCCGCGACGAGGTGTGGGATCTGTTGCTGTACCCGTCCTTCCGTTTCCCTTCTGCGCGGCCCGCAAAGCGTCGGCGGCTGCAAGAGCAGGACGAGGCGCCCTCTGCGGAAGACAGCGGCGCGGCGGCGGAGGGCGCGGCGGCGGAGGGCGCGGTGGCGGAGGACGCGGCGGCGGAGGGCGCGGTGGCGGAGGGCGCGGCGGCGGAGGGCGCGGCGGCGGAGGGCGCGGCGGCGGAGGGCGCGGCGGCGGAGGGCGCGGCGGCGGAGGGCGCGGCGGCGGAGGGCGCGGCGGCGGAGGGCGGCGGGCTGACGGAGGCCGTGGGCGAGAACAGCCCCACCTCGGCGGCTGCCTCCGCCGCCCGCTTTGTCGGCCAGTTCGACGTTGGCGACGCCACTCCTCCCGCGCCCTCCTGCCCGCACTGCAGCTCCGCCGCCAGGCCGGCGGTCCTCCTCTTTGGCGAAGATTACGCCTCGCGGCACGAGGCCGGCGGGCAGGCGGAGGAGTGGGCGGCGTGGAAGCAGTGGGTCCTGGACGCCCTGGCGGCGGACCGCAGCAAGCGCCTCGTCGTCATCGAGATTGGGGCCGGCACCGCCGTGCCTTCCGTTCGCGACGCGGGCGAGTCGCTCCTTCGGAGGGCTGGGAGTCGGCAGTGCACTCTAGTCCGGATCAACCCGACGCCGATGCTCGGCGACAACACCACCGATGGCGTGCTGAGCATCAAGTGGGGCGCAGAGGCCGCGATCGCGCACATCAACGAGTGCGTGCGCAAGCTCGCGCGAGAGAGCGTTGATTAGCGCACGTGTTCATCGGTCAGGTTTTTCTCTCTCTTTTGGGCCCCCATGTGCCCCACCCGACTTTGTGTGACTGTGTGTGTGTGGAGAAATTTCGCATATCAGGGGAGCGCCAAGCACCGAGTCGTCACATTAGAGAGAGAGAGAGAGGAGAGAGAGAGAGAGAGAGAGGGAGAGAGAGAGGGGGAGAGAGAGAGAGAGAGAGAGAGAGAGAGAGAGAGAGAGAGAGATGTCATTAGCGAGAGTACCAGCAGAGCAGGTCTGTCCACGCGGACGTATTGTACGGCGGCAGCGACTCGAGCAGGTTATCCATCTGCTCAAACGAGAGGCTGCGCGCCGCGAGCACACCCTGCGGCGTCGGCCGCGGCCCATACCGTTTGCGCTTCCTGTCGACGAGCGAGAAGAACCGCAGGTAGGTGCACACAAAGCCGGCGCTCGCCACATGGCGCATGAGCTGCAGCGGGCTGGCGCCCGCGAGGTTCAGCAGTTCGTGCGACATCTCGATGAGGACGAGCCGCACCCGGCCGCTCTGCATCAGCGACGCCGCGCCGCGCAGCACACCCAGGTCGAAGCCCTGCGTGTCCGTCTTGAGGAGCAGCACCGAAGCGTTGGGCAGCTCCTCGTCCAGCGTGGCCACACTCACCGACACCGACGCGGACGCGGCGTCGGCGGCGCTGGTGCTGCCGACCATCACCTGCCCAAACGAGGCGTTGCGGCCGTTGCTCTTCATGCCGAACGTCGTGCGTCCGGCCTTGGCTCCAATCGCAACACAGCGCACCGTCACCTTGCCTTGACGCCGACCAGAGAAGCTCGCTGCGTCTCCTCCGTCTATACGCCGCCTGTGCCCGGCCTCGTGCTCGGCCACCGAAACCTGCAGCTGGCGGCACGTGCTCGGCGACGCCTCGTAGCAGAGGCCATCGTGCCCCGCATCGGCGATCGCCAAGGCAAACTGGCCGACGTTGGCACCCACGTCGACAATCAGCTGCGCCCCGGCGCCGCGCGGGACCGCCGGAAGTAGTTTGTGAGTGAAGAACTCCTCGGGGGTGGCCGTGTGGAGCTCGGGGAAGCCCAGTAATTCGGGAGACGAGGTGGCCCCACGCCAGCCTCGGACCCGCGGTCGCTTGCAGTAGCTGCGCATACGGAATCTGCTGCGGCTGCGCCAGAATTGCGGCGCCAACCCTTGCATGCGCTTCCAGCCGTGCGTTGCTGAAGGGTTCGGATGCAAACGGCATCGCGCACACATTGCAGGTGTAGCTGCACTGAGCACGGAGCCTGCTGTTGCGCGAGCACTCTGTCTGGTGTCTCTTGCACTTCCTGTGGTACCATCTGTCGGTGCAAGGCGGCGGTGGCGGCGGTGAGGCAGGTACCCAATGCAGGTCGCGGCCTGCCGGCCGCCTCCTGAAAGTGGGCCGACTGAACGTCAGCGAGAGGAGTGAGAGCGCGCACAAAGCTGCAGCCGCTGCGAGGCGACCTGCCTGCCGAATGGTGCGTTCGGTGGTGTACGTACTCTCTCTCGCTCGATCGCCGTGCAAAGCTCGCTTCCGGCTCTCACGGCGCGCATCCCAGGGCTACTTAGGTTCTTCGGGCCCCTTTAGGGGGGCAAACCCTGCCCGGCCCCTAGGACCCCAGGTAAGGCCCAGGTGTGGCCTAGGGCATCAGAAGGGACCAAGAGGAGTCCAGTCTGAGCCATACAGCCCATGTCTTTGCCCCCGAAGGTCGCGTTCAAATGCCCGGAACGGACGTTACAGTGGTGTCCGGCCGCGGTTACTGGACCGTCACGTGTTCAACGACGTTGAACAGTGTTCAACCACGGCGCTGTTCACAGCGCGCGCGGACGGCCGTTCTGCGAGTCCAGCTCCGCTGGACTTTTGTAAAGCATGCTTGTGGCAAGTTATAGACGCTAGTATCGACCTCAGAGACCCAAACCCGAATTAATAATTAAGGCTCAAAGTATGGTTGAACAACCGTTGAACAAACAGGTTGAACAACGATATCCGACTAGTGCGACCGCTAGACGGCGGTCTCCGCCGGCCCCAAGGCTGCCCAGCCCCAGTACCACACCGGCCACGTAGACCGTAGCGCTGGAGTTGGTCAGTGAGGCACTAGACGGGCTACGGAACCATGCGCGCGCCGGCCGGATAGGCTGCGCGCAGGGGCCGCGCCGCCTCGATTTCGCATCTCCGCTCCGCGGCCGACTGAGGGGCCAGCTCGCCCGGCGACAAGCCCAGCCATCGTCCAGCGCCCCGTATCGACGGAGGGCACGCAAAAAACCCGCACCTACGACTAGGGTGAGCCCGTGAGGGCGTCGGTGTCGGCCGCGGGCGGCTGCGAGGAGGGCGCGGGTGGGAGCATGGGAGATGCACCACCGCTCGACGAAGACGCGCCCGACGAAGCCCTGCTTGCGGAGGATGGTCGATCCTCACCTACTAGCGTCGGGCGTGTGCGAAAAAGAGCGCAAATCGGAGCTCAACTCGCGCGCGGCTGGGAAAGGGGTGTGGCACCCCTCCGAAGGCGCCTCGCGAGGAGCTGCTGCTGCCTCCAAACGCGCTCGGGCAGCACGTCGGCGCGCCTGCGGGGTTGGGGAGGTGAAACTATGCTTGCTGGCACGCGCATCCCGCACCACCCCCACGTCCGCGCGCACCATGCCGCCATCCCACCTCACAGCCAAGCGCCATCGCCGTCGGACGCGGCGACGCCGAGCGGTGGCCTCGCAGACGACGAGCGCGATGAGGCCGCCGCGCCGCCGGGGTGGCCGGCGCGTGCCAGCCGCTGGCCCGTCCAGCGTGGCGGGACCGGCTCGCCCATCCTGGCCCGCGCGCTTGCCGACGCGAGAAGATCGCGCGGGAGGGCAAAATGTGGCAAAATCGCCCTGTTTGCCAACCCTTCACGGCGACTTCACGTCGGAACGAGTCGGATCGACGACTCCCCGCCTGCACCAGCGTGTGCGCCTTGCAATTCTATACAGAATCGATACTTGGTACGTCTTCTCAATCGCTCGTGGAGAGGAGCTACGGCCATTCCCAAGTAGTGTTCAACGACGTTGAACAATGTTCAACGTCGTTGAACACGGTCCAGTAACCGGCCGGCGCGATCACCGAG